AAGAAAGAAAGAAAGAAAGAAAGAAAGAAAGAAAGAAAGAAAGAAAGAAAGAAAGAAAGAAAGAAAGAAAGAAAGAAAGAAAGAAAGAAAGAAGGCAGCAGCGCCCCCAACTGGCCGAGCTCATTTATTCACCGGAAGTCGTTTTGATGTAACCAGAATATCAAAGATGGCGGCGCTGGTGGGTGAGTATTGTTTTGATGAAACCTTTTCGCGTTTATAGTTCGCAGTATTCGGGTTTTCGACGTAATGCGGTATTATATTTTTAAAATACGTTGGGAATATGTCAGTATGTTGGTTTGTGGCATTGCTGGAGGTCGTATTTGTAATTTGCAGGGACGTCGCATACTGACCTTGCTCCGTCTGCGTTAGCAAACGGTTAGCTGCTACAGTTACATGATGAGTCCCAGTTACAAAAAACTACATTATATCATTATTTTAGCAGGATGCCACTATTTTTAAAATGTTAAAGGGAATTTTGATGCTGTATTTTTAAACTCTTGATGAAAAAATATTCAATAAAAGGTTTCAATTAACTCAACTAGATGAACCATTTCGGCATATTTTCTGGACTTTTAATTATAACTGATTAGGTTTCAAATATAGAGTTAGATTTTACATTTCAACTGTTTATTGGCTGTTAAAATGATGGCATAACACTGATTATTATATACTTACACATTTGCTTATATGTTTAGTTCGTCTATTTATATCTTTGGCTCTTATAACGTGTCATCGAGTATTGTTATTGGGCATTTTATATTTAATAAACAATAATTCCTATTTTAAATGTTGATCAGCAAGTTGTAAACAGGCTTACGATGTTTTTCAGTGATGACCTGCATAGTTTTTGCACAAAAGCATGAACAGTTTTGGACATCAAAATAAAACAAAATTATTTAAATAAAGAATAGAATTTTTCTTACACTGTTGATAAAATTATCGATTATTTTTAAGCAACCTCTTAAAAGCAACAAAAGGCTTTGATCAAATTAGAACATTGAACTGTACATTTTACTTCGTTTTTTGTCTTTGCCCTCCATTAATATAACAATTCTGCACCACACAACCATAATATTGAATTAAACCAAAGAGTACTTTATGGAATAGAAAACCTTCCTAATTCAGATAGTATATGTCTGACTGATACGGCCAGAAAATTACGCACCTCATTTAGATGGTATAAATTGAAATAATTGGGCAAATTTAAAGTTCACCTTTTCCTCCCTGTAAAATTCACATTTGAATTATTTTGATTTTAAAAGAATTGATTGCATTATTTCTATTATTAAAAAAGAAATTATGATTGAAAGTGTTAACACACCGAAATAAAGAATCTCATATTTACAGAGGAAATTTTGTCTGTAGTTTCCTGCTGTGAGCTCAAGGTTACCCCATACTTTTTATTGATTAACAATATAACTATTGCTGATGTTTTATAGTTTTTTTTTTTTTTTTTACGTAAAGGTAGTGTTTTTTCATCTTTCAAAGTCACAAAATGCTGAGGTTTACCTTATCATTTTTCCTTCTGTTTGTAAAACCAATTTTACTTTTGCAGCACCTCGCCTGGCTCTGTTTGGCTCTTTTTCAACCAGGTAAGATTGTGTTTTAGGAAATGACTTAGTATTTAGTAGGGGGGTCAGATGGTCCTCTGTCATAAATATCCAAGATAATATCCGGCTGTTGCAAGCAAATACAGAAGCATTTGCTGTTTCTTGCTGACAGCTGGAGTGTTCAGCCTGTCTGCTTTTCAGAGGAACAGACTAGCTAAGCTTGAATGCATCATGAAGTTTAGAGACTCAGAATAAATAAGTCCTCTTGAAAAAAGAAAAGTCCCTCCATCTGTCCCCTTTCTCTCCCTCTCACAGCACAGCCACTTTCTCCTATAATACTACATTTTCTTCATGCTTTCATCGGTTATTTTTTCAGGTAATTCTAAAATGATGTCTTTTATTCATCTTCTTTCTTTTTTTTGCCCATCAGGCCAATTTCAGTTTTTGCTATCCAGCAGAAATGCCTACATGGCAGTGTTAAAAGCGATAACACAGCAACCACAAGGTAAGCTATGCTGATAGACTGACATAATCCCCCTCGAATCCTCAGGGAACGCGTGTTAAATCCCTCCTCCATCACTGTGTTGCAGTGTGGTGCCAAGCAGAGAGAGAAGCACAGCTGTGGCAGCAGCCAAACCTGCAGCAGTGGCCAGCAGCAAGGGGGAATATGTGGTGGCGAAGTTAGATGATATAGTCAACTGGGCACGCAGAGTAAGTATGTGGGAGAGAGCTGGCATTGCTTTGTTACTGTTGGTTATGAATTGATCTACAAAGTTAAACCTTACATCATTTGGATGCACTCTAATGGCAAAAAGTATCAAACCACTGCTCTTTTTTATTTTTTTTTAAGTACCTGGGCATGCAGACCTACTGCTGGGTTGAAAAGTCGACACAACAAACCTTGACATATTTTGCTTTTCTAAGTGATCTAGTCTGTGTTAAACAGAAGCTGGGTTTCCATCAGATTAATCTGAAGTATTGCATAAGAAAAGCTTGATGGGAATGTTATAATTCAGAAAAAATCATGACCGGTCAGTTGTTTCTGGATTTAGCTATTATGCATGTGAACATGGCTGGAAGCAACATCGCCAATACTAGCTGACATGTTAATGTCAGACTCGTGGCTATAGTGTTTTTATTTGGGGAGCTTCACAGGATTTGCTTCATACTGTAACATCAGAGGACTCACCTGTTGGTAAAAATGATCTCAGACTTTACCAAGCTTCATAAATCCTTAAAGTGGCTTCATAGGGGAGCTGCATGTTATCTGGAATTGCAGCTGTCACTGAAGCATGAATGCCAACATGCTAACAACGTTGACATCCTTCCACACCCTTTGATATATATTTTTAAGACTGGTAGAACATTAGTTGTTCCTGACAATGTTTTTTAATAACTCCCCCTTCACCTACTTACAGCCTTATAAGCTTTACTAAACTCTGTTAGTCGTTATATCATAAAGACTAACTAAGCAGGTTTTTTTTAAGTGTGCTCCGATTGATCGGTCACCGATCGCTATCGGCCGATAAAGGCTTTATATAGTTTGATCGGCG